AGTGGGAGGAGAAAACTCCCGGGAAAGCAGCCAGGAGAGAGGGAACGACTGACCTAACCCATCAAGGGGCAGAGGGTCCCCCCATCCTCACCCTGTAGCTTCCATTGGAAAACGAGGAAGCTGAGAAACCAGATTCCAGCCTCAAAGTACAGATCACTTGTCTTTGTTTTCTTAAGAAGCCTCTACCTCCCAGATCTTGCCAGGAAGCCGGCGGCATTTTCATGAAGCAGTAATAACAAGGACAGAGCGTTCTAGCCTGCTGGAGCCTGCTGGCTGGTCCCTCTTTCCACTGCCTTTTGTTTTCATGCATCATTCCCTCACTTGCTTCTCAGATTCCTCAGGGCTTTGAAAAAGCCACAAATGCTTCACACAGTGACACCACCCAGAGGGCTGGCAGACATCACTGTCACGCACCCTGCCCTAAGCGATGGCACGTATGCAAGCCCTGACAACTGACACCCAGCCTTACACCTAGTAAGAGTCAAGATAGTGTCCAGAAAGGCAACCCCCTTCCCCATCAGTTTAGCTGGTAAAGGTGGGACTTTAGATTAAGTACCACCCAGTGGACTAGTAAATCACAGACCCTTGTTTAATGCATAATGCATCTGCAAGGTATGTTGGACAGTGGGACTTCTCTACCCTTTCTTCAAGGATCTAAATGAAGCCAACACAGCCCGGCTGGCATGCCTCAGTGGTTGAGCTTTGAACTAGGAGGTCACAGTTTGATTCCCCATTAGGGCGCGTGTCTGGTTGTGGGCTTGATCCCCAGTGAGGGGCATGCAGGAGGCAGCCGATCAATGATTCTCTCTCATCATTGATGTTTCTCTCTTGCTCACTCTCCTTTCTAAATGCAGCTAAGGCAGATGTTACTAACAAAGCAACAGAATGCTATCACTGTGCCAATTCACATATCAATATATTAGACTGTGTATATATACATTCAGGGAGAAAAAGCTCTCAATGATATTTGTGTTCCTATGTCACCTGTGGCCTGTTTTAAACCACACTCCAGACCTACCTTACCAAAATCTGAAAACAGGGCCTAGATATGTACATTTTTTTAAAAAAACTTGACAGTATTGGTTAGAATGTAGGAAAGAGAAATTCTCAGATATCATTGATGAGAGTAAAAATGAGTTCAGCTACTGTGGAGAGCAATCTTGTGAAGTTGAGAATGTGTCCCTAGAAAGTTCCTTTCCAGATATAGTCTAGAAGAATTCTCACACCTGTGTCCAATGAAGTATACATAAGGACAGTAATTACATTATGATTTGAAATAGCTAAAAACTATCATAAATTCTAGAACATTTATAGTATGGGACTATATTGCAGTATGATTTAATATAATATTACTATATTATAAAGAAAGAACTAGCTTTACAAGTATCACATGGATAAATCTAAAAAACATGATGTTGAAAAACACAAGATCCAGAAGAATATGTACACTATTTATATACATCTTTAAACACCCAAAACATATATATTGTATAGTAAAAACATAAAAACATGTGAGAAGGATTCCCACCATTTTTAAGAGATTAGTTACCTCTAGGTAGAGATGGGATGGAAGACCCTCTTTTGTAACTAAAACGTTTTATTTATTTATTTTTAATCTTAAGCAAATATGGCAAGCTGTTAAAATTTATAAAATCTCGTTACTGGATATATGTCTCACAAGTGACTGAAGATCTTCCATAGCAGCAGGATCTTTCAAGATTTTTAGGGTTCACAAATACTGAAAATAAAAGTTTGTTTACAGGGATAAGCCATTCCCGTAAACACAGATGACACTACTCATCCCTCTTAGTAATGTAGGTATTTTGAGATGTTTTCATTAATGGTGGCGTTATTACACAGATTCACACACACTCTCCTACTCAGGTGTGCTTCTGACCTCCTGGATCTGTGAGCATTCTTAATAGAGTCAGAGGAGCAATGGAATGAAGCTAGGGATCTATCCACATTTGGAGACCATTATTATAATGATCAGAGATTCCCAAATCTAGCTGACAGTCATAATCACCAGATAAAAATTTAATGCCATTGTCGATGCCTCAGCTTCTGGAATATGATGTAGTAGTTCTGAGGTGAAACCAGGAATCTATATTGTCAAGAGATTCTGATAATCAGCCAGGTTTGAAAATGAGAATAAATAATCATGAGGCAGGATAGTAAGAAGTTAGGAAAATCCTTGGCAAGTGGAATGGGGAGACTGAGCCAAATAGCTGATTCAAACTGACCCCATCCAGCACCCTGACTCACCTGCCTCCTTCTCCCTTGCATAACCATTCCCTTAAACACTAAGTCCTCAGGACAAAGAGGTTCTGACCCACATCAAATAATTTTGGGAACAAAGCTTTGGGTCTGTTGACCACAGAGATAGAGTTTTGGTCAAACTAGAGATAATATCTAGGCCTCAATTGTCTCTAGTTTGAGATAAATGAGGGTGGGAAAGCAGCAAAACCAGATGAAGCAACCTAATGACTGATATCAGGACCAGATGAAATGAATGATGATCCCCTACGCTAGCACCAACCAATCACTAGAAAACACAACTGTGAAAGAACACACTGTGAAAAGCTGATGAATATTATATTGAGATCCTCCCCCACAAATACCCGCCTTTGGAAAATAGATAAAAACCCTTAAGATGAAGGACCCAGTGCATGCTTTCTTTCTTGGGCAGGGGTGGGAAACGTCTGGCCCTCAGGCCGTTATAAGACCTGAGAAATCATTTGGTCTGGCCCTGGCAAGACATTAGGGGTGAGTTAATTAAATGTTTGAGCAAATGTAGCAGGCTAATTTTTAAGTTGATAATTTTGTATGGCCCACGGATGATGCTATAAATATCCAAATGGCCCTTGGCAGAATAAAAGTTCCCCACCCCTGCTCTACAGCATGCCCATGACTCTCCACCTCCCTTCCTTTAAGGCGAGTATCTTTTCTTTCTTTCCTCTAAGCTCCAAGGGCCCTCCTTTCACCTCTGTAACTTGTTTCCTGAGTCCATGCAGCCTAGCTTGCTCACTTCTACCTCTGTGACTTTCTAAATAAACTTTCTCTTTGAGTAGAGTTCTTGGCTCTGAATTCTAGCCAAACTCAAAGATCGAGGTCTAACAGCACCACTAACAGCCATGATTATGTTTTATTGATGTTTTCAAAGAAGTTGGGAATGGGAGAAAAAGAAGCAAGAAAATTAAAGGGGGGAAGAAGGAAGAAAGGGAGAAACAGTAAGCTTTCAAATCCTTCCTAATCTATTTTCACCCACTCTCCAACCTTGAATGTCTCTCCATCCTCTGAACTTTACTAGAGCTGTAATCATCTGTAAGGCATTGGGCAAGTCTGTAGTTCCCTTTACACTGCTGTAATGGGCTATTATTTACTTATATCTTGAATTAGGCTATAAACTTACTCAGGACAGGAACCATATCTTGTTGCTCTTTGCGTTTTCTATAGTAGCTAACACAACACCTTGAGCAGAGTAAACAGTAAAGCACAATTAAAAATAGAAAATAGCCCTGGCCACCCTTGCTCAGTGGTTAGAGCATTGGTCCATGCACCAAAGGGTAGCAGGTTCGATTCCCAGTCAAGAGCACATACCTGGGTTGCAGTTTGATCCCTGATCCTGGTTGGGGCACATGCGGGAGGTAACCAATCAATGTGTCTCTCTCACACAGATGTTTCTATCTTTCCTTCTCTCTCTTTCCTCTACCCTCCCTCCCTTCTACTCTCTCTAAAAAATAAACATAAAATAATAAATGGAAAAAATATCCTCGAGTGAGGATTAAAAAACAAATAAAAAGGACAAAACAAGTTTAAAGATGTGGCAGGATACAAGATCAATATACAAAAAACAATTGTATTTCTATACATTAGCAATGAACAATTTGAAAATTAAATTCAATGCAGTCCATATCCAGATCCCAGGTGTGTGTGTGTGTTTCAGAAATTGGCAAGCTGATCTCTAATTCATATGGAAATGTAACCCAGCATAGCCAAAACACTCTTGAAGAGGAAAAACAAAGCTGGAAGATCCACATTTCCTGATTTCTAAACCTACAACAAAACTACAATTATGAAGGCATTGGCATAAGTATACACATAGAGATCAATGGAATAGAATTGAGTGTTCACAAATAAACCCTCACATTTAAGGTCAATCGTTTTTTTTTGACAAAGGTGCCAAGACAAGTCAATAGTGAAATAATAAATTTTTTCAATAAATGATGCTGGAACAACTGGATATCCACATGCAAAAGAATATGTTGGGCTATACCTCACACCACACAAATAAATTAATTCAAAATAGATCATAGACCTAAATGTAAGAATTAAAACTATAAAACTCCTAGGAGAAAACACAGGAGTAAATCTTTTTTTTTAAAAATATATTTTATTGATTTTTTACAGAGAGGAAGGGAGAGAGATAGAGAGCTAGAAACATCGATGAGAGAGAAACATCGATCAGCTGCCTCCTGCACATCTCCCACTGGGGATGTGCCCGCAACCCAGGTACATGCCCTTGACCGGAATCGAACCTGGGACCTTTCAGTCCGCAGGCTGACGCTCTATCCACTGAGCCAAACCAGTTTCGGCAGGAGTAAATCTTTATGACCTAAACTTGTCAGTGGTTTCTTAGATATGTCACCAAAAGCAGAGGCAACAAAAGAAAATAATAGATGAATTGGACTTCAAAATTAAAAACTTTTGTGCTCACAGAACACCATCAAAAAAGTAAGAGACAACCCACAGAATGAGAGAAAATCTTTGCTGAAAGTATTTTTGACAAGCAACTTATATTCAGAATATATAAAAATCTATTACAACTCAATAGTGAAAAGCAAACCCAGTTAAAATATGGGCAAGCCCGCAGCCACCAAGCTGTGGTATTCTGTTATGGCAGCTGTAGCAAACTAACACAGTGGTTCTTTTGAACATGTAACAATGACACCGTGTATAAGAAAGGCCTATGTTTTGAATTATTGCATTTTGCAGGGTAGCATCTTTTGGTCACTTACATCATCAATTGTTAGAAATGTGAGAACTCTCCAGAAGATCAAGTACTGTGCAGTAATTATCATGCACAGGCCCCAGAGAGCCCTGGCCTTTGAGAATGCCCTCTTCATCAACCCAAAAGAAGGTAAATACTTGGATCTCTCCAGGCCTTTGAGATTTTCATAAATTGGTAGAGATTGATCCAAATGTGCTTGACACCTGGGAAAATGTCATTTAAAATGATGTTTAATTACTGAGAACTTTTAATAATATGGGGAAATGATTCTAACACTCTAATATTAAATAAAAAGTCAGCATGAAAATTTAATATGTATAGGTAGACTCATTTTATCTGTGTGGTGCTATGCATAGAAGAAAGACTGAATAGAAATATAGTCAAAGTTAACACTTTTTCTCTACAGTGAAACTATGTGTTAGTTTGTTTTTTTTCTTTATACTTCTCTATATTTCTGAATTTTCCAAAGTGAGCATGTATTATTTTTATAATCACAAAATATGCTTATATTTTATTTTATTTTAATTTTTTAAAATATATTTTTATTGATTTTAAAGAAGAAAGAAGAGGGAGAGAGGGAGATAGAAACGTCCACGATGAGAGAGAATCATGGATGGGCTGCCTCCTGCAAGTCCCTCACTAGGGATCAAGCCCACAACCCAGGCATGTGCCCTTGACCGCAATCGAACCCAGGACCTTTAAGTTTGCAGGCCGACGCTCTATCCACTGAGCCAAACCGGCTAGGGCTATGCTTATATTTTAAAGATTAAAAACTGGGCAGAGCAAGCCCAGCCGTCTTGGCTCAATGGTTGAGCGTCGACCTATGAACCAAGAGGTCATGGTTTGATTCCTGGTCAGGGCATATGCCCGGGTTGCAGCTGAACCCAGTGTGGGGTGTGCAGGAGGCAGCTGGTCAATGATTCTCTCTCATTGATGTTTCTATCTCTCCCTCTGCCTTCCTCTCTGAAATCAATTAAAAAATATTTTTAAAAACCGGGCAGAGCATATATAACTAGTATTGAGAGTCATCTCCAAAAGACAAAGTTCTGGGACTCGTAAGTCAGATGCAAGTGCTACTAGAACCCTGCTGCCCACCTGTCCTCTTGGGATTGAGCCATTGGATGTTGCCCCATGCCTGGAAATTCTGATTATGCACCTGCAGAGTCTTCCTGTCTAGAACAGGTCTCTGAACACTGATCCTCCTTTCAGACCTCTAACCCCTAGATCTGAAGTTAGGAACAACTCAACCCAACCTCTCCGTCCCTGTCCCACACTTTTCTTCCAACCATTTTGTACTCAAGGCTACCCACAGTGGCACATGGTTACCTTGTCCCTCATAAGCGGAGCGGCTGAGAAGTAACAGGCACAAGATGATAGTAGGAGGGCAAGAGAAGGGAAATACTGGGAGAAATGCTTCTGAGGTTTCCTTCCCTGTGGAGGTCTGTCCCTCTGTTTAGCTTCTTGTCTGTCCTCCTAAGAGGAGGGGCTTAATTTGATTGGGGAATTGGGAAACCTACATAGAGCATGTTCAGTTTAGTTCCTCCTTCCTGCCTCTTAGGTACCTGCCTCCTGCAGTGAGGATGCTTTGCTTCTCTGGGGCAGGATCCCCTTCCTACTCCAACCCTCATCCCCAGAATAAGAAGGCCTGTCATGCTCAAATGTTACTTGTGACTGGGTGAATGAGTCTGCCTAAAGCTGAAACTCATTTAGTATTTAGTATCCCATTCTAACTCACAGAAAAAAGATATCAAGGTAATATTTTGGTCTCCATCTGCCCACTTTTTTGTCTCATTTCTCATCTCAATCTGAATCCTAAAATTTGGATTGGAGAAAAGAATGCTACTTATGGTAACTTCTCAGGGGCCTGAAAGGTGTTTGTTAAGAGCCAACCACTTGCCCAGCATGAAGCATTAGATATGTTCATTTATTTAATTCCACAACAACCCCCAGGAGTTTACAGTATTTTCCCATTTCCCATAAGAGGAAACTGGTGCTCAGAGAGGTTAGAAACTTGCCAGAGGTCTCACAATGAGTGAGTGACAGATGTCACTCTGACTTCAATGTCCAAGCACTATACACTGCATCAGACATTGTCCTTGTGTGCCACCAAGACACTCCTTAGGGACTGAGGTAGCAATCTCATCTGCATTTAATACTTCATCCTAATCAACTGAGCTAGCAATTGAGCAACATGCAAGACAGGCAAAGATGATACAACCGAAGGACAAGGAATGGGTGATTATATAACTCTAGAGTAGACCAAAGACATCCAGAACTATATTTTCCCCAGATTTCTTGGAAGCTTTTAGACAAATGACCTCCCCTGCTTCCCAATTAGTGCTCTGGCTTCCTGGTCGTAAAATAATTCATTAATATCCTGTCCTTCTTAAATCAGACCACATGCCATGCTTCCCTGAGACTGGCCTTTGCCCATTTAAAAATTGGGTGCCATACGGCTTTGGGTAGCACTTGGAGTAAAATAATAACTATAATGAATAATGAATCAGCTTAACAATATATGAAAACAAGAAGTAGTGAAATGATGATCAGAAAGTGCCAGCTATAGGGGCTGAACCTTTAAGTAGACAAGCTGAAGAAGATGTTTTGATCTCACCCCTGAAGGACAATCAGCTGGAGGGCTGAACCAGTGTCTGAGAGAGCCAACCATGCTGCCAAGGTACCAGGCAGCATTTCCAGGAGCTCAAACCACGGCTAGTTACTTCTCATCTTCCCAACAAATGCTCAGAAAGTGCAAGGGCACCCCACAGGTCACTAAGCACATTCCCAATGGCCCTCCAGGGAAATTTGATGCTGAGAAATGGACCTTTTCCAAAGTAGTGGTTCAAGCCAGATGAGGAATTACAGAGAAGACAGCCTTCCATGGAAAATACCCTGCCTCCAAATCCCCAACGTCTTCATTAGAGAACTGAAAGCACAGGCACACCAGCTGGTCTCCACGGCTCCGAAGCACTGCGGTGCAGTGGAAAGAGCAATGCTATAGGGCTCATAAACAAGAGACTAGTCTTCTATCCCCATCTCTGCCAGATTTTAGCTGGGTGACCTTGGCATAGGAACTTAGCTTCTCTGGGCCTCACTTTCCTCATTTCTTAAATGAGGTTTGACCAGACTATGATGTGTTCTGATTCTAAAATCCTATCTTTCGACTTTGAATTACCATTTTACATTTAAAGAAAATTAAAGCGAGCTCCTGAGCGTTGTTTCTCAGGGATCCTGTTATTCCAGGGGCCATGCCTCAACCTTTTCAGCAGTCTTCATTGGCTTCCCTCCTTCCACAAATCAAACCTAAATTCTTCAACATGGCATTCAAGGTTCTTTGTGATCCACCGTGCTTATCCAGCCACCCTCCCTTTATACTCACCAATCATGTATTTTATACTCTGGCAATACTGGACTATTTGTATTTTCCTATAATACTCTTACTGCAATATCAAATATTTATGAGTATGCACTCTGTGCTAGACACACCAGGAAGCCTTTGAACTACTGTTCACTTTGCTTGGACTGCCTTGTATTAACTAAACTAGAGCTTGCTGCTGTAACAAAGAAGCTATGTAGATTAACACAATAGAAAGTTATTTCTTAGTCATATAACAGTTCAGTGTGAGAAGCAGCCTTCCATCCAGAATCCTTCTATTTTGCAGCTTTGCCATCCTCCAAACTTCAGTGTTTTACTTCCAGAGCTAACAGCTGGGAAAAAGAAGGAAGAAAAGGCACACCTACTTCTTAACCCAGCCCAGAAATGATGCAATCACTTCTGCTCATGTCCCATTAATTAGAACTTGTCACTTGTCACTTGTATATGGAACTGGAAATTAGTAGGGCCACTTCTTAGAACATTTTCATACTATGGAATGAGAAAGCACAAGTCTTTGATGATCAACCAGCCATCACATGCTCTTCCTTGACTTCTCTACTTAGCAAAGGCTTATTCACCCTTCACATTTAAGTGCTACCTCCTTTGCGAAGTTTTCCCTGATTTACGTAGGCAGATTTAGGTCCTCCTTTCCTATCCCTCACTACACATTTTACATTTCTCCATTAGGACTATTATCATAATACTAGAGGCACGAAATACTGAAATACTGAAATACTGGTGCACGAAATTAGTGCATAGGTAGGGTTCCTAGGCCTGGCTGGTGAACAGGGCCGATTTTTGGGGTGACTGGCAGGGCAATTGAGGGGCTCCCACTGACACTCGCCTTAGCTGGCCTGGTGCCTGCCCTGCCCCCCACTGCTGCCACCAGTTGCCTCCCTCTGCAGGGTGACTGGCAGGGCGATCAGGGGGCCCCCACTGGCACCCACCTTGGCTGGCCTGGGGCCTGCGGGCTGGGAACAGCTCCTACATTGAGCGTCTGCTCCCTGATGGTCAGTGCACATCATAGCGACCGGTCATTCTACCAATCATTCTGCTGTTCGGTCAATTTGCATATTTGGCTTTTATTATATAAGATACTGGTGGTTTGCATGCCAGTCTACCTAACTGAACTATGACCCTTGAGGCAAGAATCTTGTCTTTTTGTTTTTGTATTTGGAAACCTTAGCATTATGCCCAGTAAATAGTAGTTTTATAATGATATTTAATGAATTAATGAATATTATCATTAAATCAAAGAATGAATGATTACCTTAAATAAAAGAAGCTGGTTTTTACAGAGGAACAAAGAGCTCAGTGTAAAAACACAAAACAGAACTCTTGGTGATTTGAAGTCATCTAAAATGCTAAAAAGAAAATAAGCTTCCCATGTAAATGCTACAATTGCAATTAATATTTTGCATTATCACTTATTTAGAATATGTCTCTTTCATAAACTCCACAAGGCAGGGACCTTATATGTATTGTTCTTTGCTCTGATTCTAGCATCTAGCATACTGTCTAGCACATAGTTGATACTCAATAAATATTTTAGAAGGAATGAATAGATAAAGAAATGAATAAATACATGAATGAAGACTGCATCCTTAATTGCATGAGCCATATAATTAATGCTTAGCTTGGCTTATACAGGAAAGTGTGGACCGGGCAGTAAGAACCTACCACAACTAGAAAGACAGCCCAGAGTGCACATGAGGACTTTAACATCATTACCTTGCATAGCCCATGGCATCAT